TATGAAGCATCAGTTTTCAATTTTCAAAAGGACAAGCACTGACCTAAAATGGCTGAGGGATCATCTGACCACAGATTGAGGCAAGTTCAGGAACCAATGTGAAATAGATTAATAGGTCTTTATAGCATAGAAAGTGACCATTCATGCCTGTGCTACTCAGTAAAGATTTGATGACACTAATCCCATTTTCAGGCTTTTGGCCTGAGCCTGGAGACTGTGTGGCAACACAATATCTAAATAGTATTTAAATTTTATGACAGTTTCCGATTCAACTACCCTTTTAGGGCTCCCAGCGTCCTCTGAGTGGAAAAGATTTCTCTTCAACTCTCCTCTTAGCCTTCTACCTCCTACCTTAAACTTCTGCTTGCTGGTTATTAACCCCCTTAACTAGCAGTTAACTGATCAAATAATTGGCACAGTGGTTCAATGGTTAGCATGGCTGCTTCCCAGTACCAAGGACCTGGGTTCAATTCCACCCTCAAGCAATTGTCTGTGTGGAGTTTCCACATTCTTCCTGTATCTGCATGTGTTTCCTCTGGTTTCCTGCCACAGTCAAGAAATGTGCAGGTTAGTAGAATGGCCATGCTAAATTGCCCATAGTGTCAGGGCTGTACAGGCCAGGTGGATTAGCCATGGGAATTGCAGTGTTAGAGGGATAGGGTAGGGGAATGAGTTTGGGTAGGATGCTGTTTGGTGTGGGCTGAATGGCCTGCTTCCGCTCTGTAGGGTTTCTATAATCCTTAACGCCACTTTCTTGTCATTTTCACATAACCCTTGATTCCCTTACTTGTTAAAAATATGTCTATGTCAGCTTTGATCCCCACATTTAAGTCCAAATCATTAAGGTGCACCACAAACCGCAAGGGCCCAAACACCAATTCCTGGAAACAGACTTCCTTTCACAGAAAGATCACTCTTCCATTATATTCTGCTTCCTACCTCTCAGCCAATTTTAGATCTAAAGTGCCACTTTGCCTTGGGTTCCATGGAGGCTTTCTTGATCAATTTACCATGAGGGACCTTCTCAAAAGCATGGCTAAAGTCCATATGGTCCATATCAAATGCATTACCCTCATTCACACTCCTCATTACTTCCTCATAATGTTTGATCAAATTTGTCAGATCCTACTTTCCTTTAACAAATCCATGCTGACTACCCATGTCTCGTCAAATGCAGATATATCCTTTCTCTCAAAATTGTTTCTAATAAACCCCACTGACTGACTGGACTGGACCGTAATTTCCTGGTCTATCCATTCCTCCCTTTTATTATAATGGGATAATGGCATCAGTCCCCTGACACCTCACTTGTGGTCAGAGAAATTATAGGAATTACTGCCGGTGTACCTGATTTCTCCTCCTTTGCCTCCCTCGGCAGCCTGGGATACAACATTTCTAAGCACCCAGATTTATTCACTTTTAAGGCTGCTAAACCCGGTAGTACACCCTCTCTCTGTTTATTTCTCCTAACGTTTCACAGTCCTCCACTCTGATATCTATCTGCACCATCATTTTCAATTGAAAAGAGCAACGCAATGTATTTTTGGAAGACTGTGCCCACATATTCTGTATCAACACATACATTACCTCTGTCGTCCCAAATAGGCCTTACTCCTTCTCTAGTTATTCTGTTGCTCTTTATATATTTAAAGAAAACCCTTTGGGTTTTCCTTGATTCTACCCACCAATACTTTCTCATGTACTCTCTTTGCTTTCCTAATTTCCTTTTTGAGATCCCACCACACTTTTTGTACTCCTGTAAGGACTCTGCCATATTGAATGCTTGATATCTGCAATAAACATCTATTATGTTTAAAATCCTAACCTTTAATTTCTTTGACATCCAAGGTTTCCTGGTCTTGATCACACCCTTTGTCTTTACCAGAACATAGTTACCTTATGTTTTCGCTATTTATTCCTCGATTGTCTCCCACTGGTCTGACACTGTTTCTCTGCAAGTAGCTGCTCCTAGGCCATTGTGCTGAATAGTATCTTAGTGCAATTAACATTTCTCCAGTTTAGAATTTTTATTCTAGCCCATCCTAACTTTTTTTCCACAATTATTCTAAACTTAAGTGAGTTATGGTCATTATCTGCAAAATGCTCTTCTACTAACTTCCTTACACCTGTCTGGGCTCATCTCCAAATGTTAAGTCCAGAACTTTTCCCTCATTTGTTGGGTTTTCAATGTACTGGCTAAAAAAAAAATGACATGAGCGAATTGAAATGACCATCTTATCTGGTGATATTAAGACCAGTCAACTGAGCTAGGATCAATAAACTAGCATCTCCTGATTCAGTTTGCACATGCTTGATAGGTGTCATACATTGGACTTGATAAGTTGTCTGTGGAGTAATTTAAGGAGGCAATGAAGCCAAATTTGGGAATATGTAAATTTACCCTATTTCCGCAGCTGATTTTGAGCAACAGAGAGAAAAACAAATGAGGATTGGCAACGTTAAGGACTGGAAATCCCTGTCTCTCTATTTCCTCCTCTTCTCAAATGGCAAATAGTGGCAAAAACAAATCAACAAGCAACCAATTACTGAAACTCAAGAATACCTTCAAATTTTGCGACTGCATTCACCAGTTAAATAACTGTTCTCAACTGATAACAGTCACCAGTTAAATAACAAGTCTCAAGTCAAAACCTAACGCGTGAACGGCTCCAAGGACTTTTAAACTGTGTAATCTTTATTCTTGTCTGTATCATACATTCTCTCCATTTTAAACTTTATAACTGTATTTGTGTGTGTTTTTGGTATTGCATTTTATTAGTTTTCTTGATTTCAGTAAATAATAAAATTCCCCTTTCTCTTACTCAGGTGAAACCTTGAAACTGGTTCCTTTGAAAGACCTATCTATATTTTACCATTCCCCTACTCCTTCACCAGAATTTTACCCCTTCAAGTATTTATCCAGCACGCCTTAAAAGTTACTATTAAATTTGCTTGCACTGTCATTTCAGGCTGTGCATTTCAGGCGGGTAACAGTGTTAATAATTGTTTCTACATTTTTATCTGGAAGACCTTGGTAATAAATGCAATGCTACACACTAATATGCCACTTTTTAATATTTAATTACTTTGATTCAGAAACTTCTTTAAATACCAGACTTGGTGACTTCACTATCATTCTTGTGCAGTAGCCCCCTACTTATAAGAACATTCTTGATATTTTGTGACCTTGAAGATAATGCATTCTACTTATGCCTCTGAGACTACCAGAGAACCATAAAAAATATAATTTCTAGGTGACAGTGAAAGTCGTTTACATGGAATATTTGCAACATCGAGTATTTCTCTGTTTCTTCAGTACTTTGCTTAATAGCCTTTTTGCAACATTTTGAATATCTACGTCAGCTATGCTACCCATGGCCACCTTGACAAAAGCTAAATGTAGGTATAGTTTCTCCCATTTGATTCCCCTGACTTGAATACATGAAGCTGGGAGAAAAGTTTCAGAAATTTATAGTTAACTACCTGCCAGAGTCAACAACTATCACATCATGATCAACTATTTACATCCATTTTACAAATTTATATTGGCAGTTTCAACGTAAGTGTTCATATGTGTGACAAAAGTAAGGGAGGTAAATACTGATGCAGAACTCACCAGTTTTGTTTCACTGGCCATGTCACTGATTTTTTTTCATAAACTTTTACCTTTCTGTGTCATTGTTAAGTCTAACAATAACTGGAACTCTCTATGCCTGCAGGAAATGTGACAACAGTTTAATAGTTATCATTCCCATGGTATGTTTTGGTAGACCTCAATTAGCTGAGAATAAGTTTCTCAGTATCCGTGGGATTTTGAGAACTTGTTTAAGCTATCTCCCACAGTCTCTGACATTATTTTAATGAGCTGCAACCCTTTTACTTCTGGCTGTATCTTGCTGTAGTCAAATTGCATAATTTTTTTTTGAATTATTCCTATCGTCCATGTTGGAATTGTCCGAAGAGATTTCCAATGTTGGCAGAATTCTCTATTAATTAATGATAGTCCACCATATCTTTCTGTGCATAGTTTGGGGATTTGTGAGGAACAAAGAGAACAAGTTTTTTTTTTCTCTTTTGGCTGCCCCTCTAGATGGTATACATCAAAACAAGGCGCAAAATCTAGAATTCAATACTGAAATCATAGGTGCTTGAGTATTTAATTTCATACTATATTTAAATGGTACTGCTGGGCTCAGCTAGCTTTTATTATCCTCACCTTTAGCTTTCTTCTGAGATGAGCTACTAATTTAAAGAGGTTATGGATTCAAAACTCCTTCCAGAGACTACAAAACCTACAATGACAATTCCATGCAGTACTGAGGGAATGCTGTATCATCAGAATCAATATTTTCTAGTTGTAACTTTTTAAACTGAAATCCCCATCTACTTGTTTCCGGTAAAGTTGAACAATTCCATTATACTATATTAAGAGCAGTAAATTAGCTTGGCATCCTGCTTTGTGTTTATCCCTCCACTGTTGCCACCAAAGCAAGATCAGTTGTCCATTTACTGCTGTGGAATTTTGTTGTGTGCAAGTTGGCTGACATGTTTACCAATGAGACGGCAATAACTTTTGCATCTTTCCACCTCTTTCTTTCCCCAATTGAAACCATTTCCAGACATTCTTTTCACAGGCTTTTGTTTACATCTGAGATTCTCTCTTTGAGCTTGATCTCTATTTGTGAAATGTATTTTTATTAAAGAAGTTATGTGGGTGAAAGTTGTTGTTTTTGGCATTTCAACTATGTTGGCAGTGAAGCAATTTGGGCTCACATGAAGGTGTAACAGGTTCTACATAAATTTCCATTTCTTGGTTCTTTATTGGCCCTAAGTAAGGTAATACTTTGGTATGAACTCTTGGATTGTTTCCAATAATTACTCCAACAGAATGTATTCTGCAACTTTTTGGCAAGTTATGAAAATAATATTTAAGATTCAATGGCTTGGAAACGGCCTGATAGAAATAATTGCATTTTAATTTTCTCCAATTGAATGTCCAGGGATCTTGGTACATCATTAACAAAACTGCAGGTGCTCTGGATGGCTCGCTGTGGCCTCAAAGACTTGGATGGAATTCCTTCCTTCTGTTCATTAAAGGTAATTGATTTATGAAGTGAATCTTAAGACTGTAATCATGGGAATGATATGAGGTTATGAGGCTTTAATTGCTCAAGACCACAAATTAATTCTGTCAGTTTTTAAGATAACAAACTAAGGACATTGAGCAATGAGGAAATATTAGCAACTTTGGATTCTACTCTGTTAAAAATCAGAGTTGATAAACAAAATTCAGATTGTACAACAGCTCACCAAGCTTACTTTTGTAGCTCACCATTTGTTAGCTGAGACAATCAGAAACTAACTCTACTGTCTGTGCTTTCTCCCCATGACTGTGTATCAGTTCTAATCCTGCCATCATGCACTGTCCTATTTCCAGTCCAAACTAATCCTACTATCTCACTCCCTGTATCAATCCTAAACAAATCCTGTACTTCCACTCTCTCTCCCCACATTGTCCTGTATTAGTCCTGAACAGACCTGTATCCTCATTCTCTCCTCACACAGCCTTGTATCGATCCCAAACTATGTCCATGGCCCTATGCTCTCTGCATGGCCCTATACTAATCCCAAGTTACACCCACCCTTTGTTCTCTCCTTAGTCAAATATCAATCTCAACTAATCCCACTGCCTCATGCTCTCTCTATGAGCTTGATATTACATGTCTCCGCTGAGTATATTTGAAACTGCAGACCACATAAAGTAGGTCAGGTGACTTTTCCACCATTTTACCACCCACCCTCTAGCTAATGTACCTCCATAATATGGAGAATAGGTGGATACCAAAATCAGCACCCTGCCTACTGTATATAAATGAATAATCAGGGTCAATTAATTTGTTTAAAAAACTCAATTAATCCTGCTATTATCTTTCACATGTCATAAAACAGTAGATCTAGGAGCTGGTTCGGAGTGGGCATCCTAGTTTTTTAGAAAAAATGGTTTTAAAATGGTAGAAAGAAAAGGGTGATATTTTCTTCTTGGAGGGTACACTTTGCCCAACAGGGGCACCCCTCAAGAAATAGTACCCCATTTCCTTTCTACCTACCTGTACATCAAAACCCCTCCCTATTGTGGGCAAAAGCTCCTCACCCAAGTGACTTCCCTCACTTCATTTGACCTTTGTGGGCCTGCCTGTATTTCTAGCAGCAGCCATTACTAGGATGTGGTTGCTGGCAGAACTGGCCAACCACTCCTGAGGCTGGAAATTCCTGCTCAGTAAGGGCCAGTAATCCAACTCTCCAGTACTTCTGTCTTCTGGTAGTGCATTAAAGACGAGCTTGTTTCTGATCCATCTGCTTGTGAACAACTTTGCTTCTGGGGGTGTGGTGTTTGTATGCCATTAATTTACCAGGCATCGTGGTAGTTAAAGAGGCATGAGTTGCAACAAATGCTTTTTATTTTAGAAACATGACGCATTTCGAGTCAGGAAAAACCACCACGTTTATCTCACATTGGTGAGGTCATAAATAAACTATTGCATGTTTGTGTCTAATGCAGGTATTCTACATCAAATAATTCATAGTATATAAGAAATTTTAAGATGTGGTTACACAAATCTGTAAATGCAAATCTTTATTAAATAATACTGTTCAATATAATTGACATTTGTTACAATTGCAACCTTATTTTTTCCCCAAATAGCAGTCCAAGTGAAGTGCAGCTTCATTTGCAAGGACTTTCATTACTTCAGTTTTTCATTCCCAGTTAGGTGAATACTTCTCTGGGCAAAAGTTTAAAACTGGTTTCTCCTGCTTGCAGCTCCTTTTCACCTTTTGCAAACCCTACTCTATTTTACATTCCCTTATTTCCTACTCTGCAGCCCCTTATTCCTCTTTGTAGCTTCTGTTCCCTGTCCATTGCAGTGCCTCTCTCTCTTTCCTCCGCCCACCCCACCCTCTTTCCAGCACTTCTCTCTACCACCCCCACACCCTTCCAGCATCATCTCTCTCCCCCTATCCCTTTTCCAGTGTCTCCTAACCTTCTCTGCCCCACTGCCTCCTCGCCCCACCATACCCCACTTTTGGAGCCTTACTTCTGGCCTCTCTCCTCAGGCTCCAGGCCTCATTCCTCAGCCTCAAACCCTCAATCTTGCTGCCCTTTCTAATGACTTTATTTACCATTTCTGCCTCTGCTCTCCTTTATCCTGCTGACAGCTGCCAATAACTTTGTTGCCCCAAACACAGGTTGGTTCTTTCCTGTGATTGAAAGAGCAGCTTCTTGAATTTCACTGCATTATGTTTATGTGGGTGACTACTCTCTAGTGGCCCTCATGAACGCATTTTCCACGGTGATCTAGGCTTTCAGGGATGATTCCACCCACTGCCCCCATATATTTTGACTGCTGCACACAATGATTGTTCTTCGGTTTCTATCATGGCAAAACATTTTGTGTTCCTCAGTCCTGTGTGTGAAATAAATCCTCCACACTTTTGTTCTCACTTTCTCGGTGACAATTTTAAATCCAAAACATTTTGTCAATCCAAAAGAAATAATAGCTGTTCAGTAATACAGAACTTGACTATTGCTGGGGGTAAAAAAACCATCTTGTCAACCTTTTTGTCTTGCACTAATCAAGACCTTTGCAAGAATAACATTTCAAGCGATATTTCCAATACAGCATGAGGGAGAGTGCTGATTCGTTGACAAGTGGACTCTGATTAGTAGAGGCACTCCAATGGAGAATGCACCAATTGATGGCAACTGTCAGTTAACTGCCAGTTAATCACAAATCTGTCTATCTCTACCTTGAATATAATTAATGACCCATCCTGAACAGCTCCCTGTGGTTAGAAATTCCAATATTGACTACCCTCTGAGAGAAACAATTCCTTCTTATTTCTGTCTGAAATAGGCAACCCCCTTTCTCTGAGATTAAGCCCTTGACTATCCCACAAGGGGAAACAGCTTCTCTGCCTCTGCTCTGTCAGGTCTCCTAATAATAAATAAGTTCTTTCTCATTCTTTTAACTACAATGAGTACATTCCAACACACTCAAGCTTACCTCCTAAGAAAATTGTTCTTTACCTGGAATCATTCAGTAAATGTTTTCTAATTGCCACCATTGCCAGTGTATATTCCTTTAGATGAGGGGTCTAAAGCTGTTTGCAATATTCCAACCGTGGCGTGACGAGTGCTTTGCCTAGTTTTAGCAAGGCTTCCCTATTTCATACTCCATTCCCCATAAATAAAGGTCAACAGATCATTTGCCTTCCCTATTAGCTGCTGATCTAATCTGCTAGCTTTTTGTGATTCATGCATGAGGATCCCAAATCCTTCTATGCTGCAACTTTTGCAATTTTTTTCAAATTAAATAATATTGAGCTCTTCCAGTCTCCCAGCCAAAGTATATAACCTCACATTTTCCCACATTATATTCCATCTGCTAATTTTTTTGCCCACTTACCTAACTGGTCCGTATCCTTCTGCAGACTGTGTGTCATCCTCACTCTTTCCTGCCTACTTTTGTGTCGTCTGCAAACTTGGTGATAGTACATTCACTTCCCTCATCCAAATCATTAATATATATAAGTGTAAATAATAGTGGCCCCAGCACCGAAGCTGGTGGCACTCCACCAGTTACAGGTTGTCATCCCGCAAATGCTTCCTCAATCCCAACTCTCTGTCTTGTATTAGTTAGCAAATTCTGTATCCATGCTAATATAGTACCTGCAAACCATGGGATCTTATAAGTAGCCCCACGTGCAGTACCTTATCAAATACTTTCTGGAAGTCAAAATATATTATATCTACTGTTTCTCTTTTGTTTTATCCTGCTTGTTACCTCTTCAAAGAATTCTAATAAATTAGTTGGACACAATTTCCTCACCATGAAGGAATTTATACGATGTATTTCTAAATGCCCTATAATTACATCCTTTATAATAGACTGTAGCAGTTTTCCAATGACAGAAAACTGAAAGACTGCAAATGCTGGAAATCTGAAACAAAAACAAATTGCTGGAAAATCTCAGCAGGTCTGGCAGCATCTGTAGAAAGGAATCAGAGTTAACATTTCAGGTCCAATGACCTTTCTCCAGAACTCCGAAACGTTAACTCTGATTTGTCTCCACAGATGCTGCCAGACCTGCTGAGATTTTCCAGCAATTTCTGTTTTTGTTCCAATGACAGATATTAGGCTAACTGGTTGATAGGTAGCTGATATTTGTCTCCCTTTTTGAATAAGCAGTTATTAGCAATAGAAATATTAGCAGTTTTCCAATCCGTTTGCTCTACCCCTCCTGTTAGTCTCTTGATTATTTAGTATTTTTGGAATGTTATTAATGTTCTCTACCATGAAGATTGAAGTCAAGTTTTTTTTTAACTCCTTTGCCATTTCCTGGTTCCCTATCATTATTTCCCCAGCCTTGTTCCCTAAGGATCCTTTGTTCACTTTAGCTTCTCTCTATTTAATAAAGCTCCTACTGTCTGATTTTATATTACTTACTAGTTTGCCCTCATAGTTTATCTTATCCCTTTTGTTATATTTTAGTCTTGTTTTGTTGGCTTTAAAAACTTTCTTAATCATCTGGTTTAGCAGTAATATTTACCACATTGTGTTTTTAATTTCAATTTGATAATATCCTTAATTTCTTTTGTTAACCATAGTTGGTTTATCTCCTTCCTAGAATCCTCCTTCCTCACTGAATACATCTTTGCTATGAGTCATGAACTACTTCTGAAATGTTCATCAACAATCTTTCCTGTTAACTTCTTTTCTAGTGTAGTCCAACCAACTTGGCCCTCATCCTATGTAATTTCACTAACTTAGATTTAACCTAGTTGCTTCCAACCCAAGATTCACACACTCCACTTGAATGCTAAACTCTACTGTGTAATGATCATTGTTTTCTAAGGATCACCTGAGATCACTTATTAAAGCTGTCTCAATGCTCATTACCAGACTGAAAATGACCTGAATCCTGGTTGGATCCACAATGTTTGGTTCTAGAAAACTGTACCGAATACACATTATGTATTCTTCCTCATGGCCACCTTTCCCAATTTGACTTTCCTAACCTACATAAAAATTAAAGTC